AGAGAGAGAGAGAGAGAGAGAGAGAGAGAGAGAGAGAGAGAGAGAGAGAGACCACAAAGAGGAGCTTCTGTAATTCCGTTAAAAGATATTACAGTGCAGCACGATGAATTCGCAGAACGACGGTGCGGAATTATGATATTGCGCGCATAGTTGTTAAAACTTATTAGAAACTTATTAGAAACTGTTGATTGGAACTTTTACCGTGGTCTCTGCAACTCGGAAGTTTGATTATTAATATGCTGGAATCGCCGTGTGATTTGCGCGCGTCGAATCGATCTTCCGCGCCCGCAGGTTTCACCGACCTAACGAACGCGAAATGTCCACTCGTGTAACTTTTGAAAGATTGCATTGGGCAGAGTTCTCGCGCGAGTCCAAAACGCGTGGGAGAACGAAAACTTACTTTCGCGCATGTCGGCTATCGTGTCGCCGGCAAGCATCCGCGATGCATCACTCACTACGCTGCTACCGTCCGACATTCCGCACGTCCTCCTCAGCTTGTTTAACTTCTTCACTTCGATGTTCATCAATCTTCTCGTCGACTGTGCTTGCGCGAGCACTTGCCGCCAATTGAACATGCGTTCGAAAGGCGCGCTCTTTAATTTGGCCAGAGCCTCGGCCTGTACCGCTAGAAAATTGTATATAATCTCCTCCTCCGGGTCGGCGAAGGCTTCCTGCTCGACGTAAATGGGACAATTAAGATCTTATTAGTGTCGTCGCGTCGCGTCGCGCTTGAGGGAAACGTATATCGATATTAATCACGGTCAACGCGACGCGACGTTTCGTGCTAATTATCCGCGGAAGGAATTTCCGCAAGATTAATTGATTTCCCCTCTCGACATACTTCTTTCCGAAGAGCGGTTTCCTTCTTAATGAACTCGTCGATCGTTAAGCGTCTATCGACCGCGGAGACCGGCAAAGGCGGCAACAACAAAGTTTCTCTGCGTTGCTGCTGCTGCTCCGGGAAGAGGAACGCGATCGTCTCCTCGAAGATTTTGTCCTGCAGGCTCAGGATCTCCCGTATTTTGCGTTTCTTTGTCCTCGCCTCCTGCCGTAATTTGAGAATGGGCGCGCGTTGTCTTTCGAGTACATCCTTCCGCAGTCCTTTTTTCTCCAAAATCACTCGCTGCATGCGTCTCTCTTCCATCGACATCCATCGTGTCTTGGCTTCTTCGAGGAATTGCCAGGGCTTCCGCCGCTGCGAGATGTCGTGCGAAATTAATTTAGTGATAAGATAGAACGGGAATGGGAGAGGGATCAGTTTACCGGCCGCACTTGCTCGAGATGGCTGAATGGCGTCTGGAATTCACGCGGAACTACCGCCGCCATTCACGGGATTATAAACGTTCGATTGGAATGCGGTTATCCGCGTTAATGCGGCGTTGTCAACTGCGGAGCGTGCCGCGAATAGAGGAGTGCCGAAAGTCATTGAATTATTTATCAACATCAGATTTACCGCGATCGCTCTCGTAGGTGTAACCGCACGAATCGCCTCCTGAACCGCGCCAGGTCTAATCTTCTCTTCGGTCTCCAAACGCTTCTTCTCGTCCTCCGTGTCGCCGGCAGCCAGCCGCCTCCTCATCTCGATTTCCTCGGGATTTGTTTCGCGCCATGCTTTCTGCCAGGCTTTAAATTCGCTTATCTGATCGGCCGGGAAAATAGAAAATCGCACATATATATGAATAGGCGGAATAAAAAAATTTACTGCCGTTGGCAGTAAAATTTACGGCGAATCACTATGGAAATAACGGGACGAGGAATTTCTCTTCTGTCGCTTCTCTTTCTTTTTTTTATGAACATGTTCCCCATTAAGATCAGCTGTATTTTTCCGTCTTACAGAAATATAAAGTTTTATGAAGCGTAACGGATTGATCCACTTGCGAAACGCAATTTTCTACTTCCGCGCGACACGTCGAACGACAAGTATTACGCGCGTGTCGTCGCGTCAGTTATTTCTTACATTCTGTACTCGCTGCAATACGCTAATCACATTTGATAATTAGCATACGATCATCGACTTCATATCGCTATCGTTCGACGCGTCTTTTCAGCGAAATTCTCGCCCGTTCAAGTCATATTTGCACTTTGTGGTGCGAGTTTCTCGACGTGGTACTCACTCAATCGCTTCGCGATCTCACCCTTTGAACCTGTCGGTCGACGAACTTTATTATCCACTCGACGTCGCTCACGTCGTACGTCATTAAGGCCCGCGGTGCCGTGAACATCCTCAGAGCGCCGGTAAAGTCGCAGAAGCCGACGCACTGTGGTTCCAACGGCAAGTCGTGCGTGTACACGCCGCAAATTATTCGTCCGGACAAACTTTGCGTGAAACTCGGCTCGTGACTCTTCACTACCAAGTCCCAGATCTCCACAGTGCCGTCCATCCGCGCCAAGATCAGGACAGTCGGTCGCAGAATGCCCCATGAGCACGCCGTGTATCTGTGTTCGAAATTTCGGAGGAAACGGTGATGACAATCGGTTCAAAGCGCGAACAGAGATGAGTTTAAGGGATGTTTACTTTCCCGAGTTACAGATCCGACAGTACTACACTCAGTACAAAACCTTGGACAGGATTTCAATGTCTTGGAATTATTTTTTTATACTTAAACTAATGGTAAATAGTATAGTCAAAACCCTATAGTAATATCCCTATTAATTTCTTTGAAAGAAAATTAGCAAAAATCTATCTTTTTTCTGTCGAAATTAAAACTTAAAGACGACATTGGGTGAACAATTAAAATTCACAACCGAATTGACACACATAACACTCGCGATCGTTTATCGAAAAGTCGTGAAACAAAAAGAATAAGAGGGAGACAGGGAGAGAGATAGAGAGGCGGATCGATAACGTTTGATAATGATTCTCGCGGCGAGGCGACCGCGCGCGCGACCATACATCGAAAATAGCTTTCATTAACAGAGTAGTAACGGCGGCCGGGCGCTGTAACCGTGAGTTATGATCGTATTGTCATGCAGATCATACCGAAAGTTCGGCTCTCGCCCGCCCCCGAAAACTATGCGCGGAGCGTGAAACGCGAGCCGGCCGCCGGCGGGTGCTTGCCGGGCAATACGAAACGCTATCGTCGCAATTACATGCTGCGCATTGCGGCAATTTATCGCGCGCGGGGTGCTCGTTATTTTTATTGCGGATGAAACGCGCGCGCGCGCGCGCGTTTCATTCCCCTGCTCGCGCGCGTCGCGTCGTGCCGACGTGCTCTGCCGTTTATGTATATTCATGATCGGGCTTCGTTAACTCTCGCGGTATTGACGTACCTCCTGGAGGAGCAATTTCTCCGCGGCCAATTCCTGCGATCTCTCGTTTGTAGGTTGTTTCAATGCGTAACTCCGTTTTGCGTTCTCTCTTTCCGCCTCTGCTTTTCTCTGTTTTCTTCCATTCCCAGAGAAGTGTTCTCTGTCTCTCTCTTTCTCTCCCTCCCTCCTCGTCGTAGTGTACGCACGGGGAAATCACTTAACGCCGCGACGTTTATTCTGACTCGCAACGACCAGAGTTCGGCTCGCTTTAACCGAACGACACTCTGGATTTTTTCTTTTTCCTACCACCCACCTACCCGATATTTGACTTCTTCCAAAGAAGCGGTTCACCAAAATCGTCCCGCCACACGGCGAAAATCTTGCCGCCCACTGTAACTACCAGCTTGTGATAATACCGCGATCTGACCGAGTGTGTGACCGGCCCATCGTGGGTCTTCTTCATCCACAGCCACCGTGCCGTCTCACGACTCACGCTCACGTCGGTCGCGAATTCGAAGCCCTCCCATGTTATGCAGCCAAAATCACCTGTTGCCATCGTTTACGCTTTAATCTACTCTCTACGCTGTTGATATTAAATTAAAGTCTTATTTAGGGAAAGAGGCGCGGCGAGAGAAAGATACATATATAAGTTTAATTAATCGTGTTTGACGGTGAAACTGGAATTACGCGAGCATCAGTCAACTCGGGATTAGCCGTGGCTGGGTCTCCGTGTTAGAACTGAAAATCGAATCACACACCGTACTGTCCACAGGGCGACACACACACATATACACACACATACTGCTTGAAACGATCAGAGGATCGCACCGGACAAGTATTTACCAGGCCGGTAGAGGCATTTAAAGAGACAAACCCTTAATTGTGTGTTTCGCTCGATGTGTTAATATTGACAGGGTCACCACCCACCTTCCACAGTGCCAACGAGCATCTTCGACTCCATGACGTAGTCCGCCTTCTCGATTATTGGTCTGTAGTACTTTCTAATCGCGACATCGTCCCTTCCCACTGGGAGCGGTTCAATTTGTTCCACGCGAAACTTCGGACTGTACATGTTGAGCGTCGTTATCACTAGCCGCCGACTCTCGTCCGGATATTGAACTATGAGAATATAGTTGGGTTGGAAGATGCGGTCGAGAATCTTAAAGGGCGACACCGGCCTCGCCGTCGTTTCCAGACGCGATTTCCTCTTTCGCTTGCCGCCAACTTGTCGAATATCCTTCTTCGCGGGTCGCCATCTTTCGCGGTGCATTACTCTCGGTTAGAAGTCAGATTAACATTGATTTCAACGGTATCTCGCGTTCGATAATCGGATAAGATTGAGACATGCGAGTTAAAATACAGGGAAAAGTTGAGATAATTTAAATATGCGAGAACAGAGAACAGGCTATTCTATTTTACATGGCGTTTTCGTCGAGTCAATCCGCAAACATCTTGTACTATTGAAAGATACAGATTACTGGAATACGCGCTCATCTCCGGCGGCGTAACTTTACCGTTCCTTTGCTTCAGTGAGTAACAATAAGGCGTACGGTAAGGCGTAACCTCGTAAATATCGTACCAATTCCGTACTGAGTGAGGAAACAATTCACTAGCGCGAGCATTCACATAGCCATTGTGCCACGATCGAAATGAAGAGAGAGTCTTCCTCGTACCGCTGGACGCACAGAGAGGATGAGTGAAAGACAGAGACAGACAGACAGATAGAGAGAGAGAGAGAGAGAGAGAGAGAGAGAGGGGGAGGGAGAAAGAGAGAGAAAGCGAGAGATCATCGGAGCTGAGGAGGAGGTTGGTAGTTGGCAGGTTCTGAGGACTACTCTCCGAACAGGAGTAGGGAGAAAGGGTTGGAAGCGAGGACTGAATACCGATCAACGATTATAGAGGGATGGTCTATCCATTTTCGGACCATATAAACGCCAACTTCGGAGAATCGAAACGGCAGAGTCGAGCTGTAGGACCATTACGGTTCCACAGACCCAGGGAGTTTCTCGAGAAGGATGGGGGCGGAGATGGGGGAGAACGGAAGACGGGTCGTCGTCTCGCGTCCGGATAGAAGGACTCGAAAGGCAGTCGAACGGCGCAACGGCGATGGCGACGGCGGCGTTCGCTCTTTAACGCTCAGCTTGCGACAAGTTTCGCACCCGTGGAACATTCGGAATCGCTAACTTTCGGTCTCGGGAGATACGACGGCCCGGACCTTTCTCGTGGTTACAAATTGCCGCTGGCTCAGGTCGCTCTCGAACATCACGCTGTTCGCCTGGCTATTCGGCTTGCTCCTGAATTTTTTAATGGGAACATTGCGACGCGGGTAAACGACCACGCTACGCACGTGAGGTTATGGACGTGAGGGAAACGGAACAGATGATAATCCTCTTAAACGATATTTTATGTAGCGACATAAAAACAATATAAATTCTTAAACGCATGAGAGAAAGAGTGAGACTTTCGTATAAGATCATCTAAGGTAGAAACATCAATGCTTGGACATTACACAGTAATTTTATAGTAAGAATTACCATAAGATTTTGTAGCTGAGGAATAGATTGACATTCAGCAGTGATTCATTACTCTCAAGTAGAAGAAGCTATCTTATGGTGTCAGAGAATCTTTAGCTCGGCTTTATTAGGAGACTCGTAGACCATGACATGCGGGAAATGCGTTTTGTAAAATATTTTCGCATATAATCGTGCATTATTCCTCGTGATAAACGCATCTATTTAGTACTTAGTCCTTTAGCTACTCTGCTATATAAATGTTTAATAGCACTTAGCTTATTTATTGACCGGAGGATGTTCCTTTTAGTCGTCTTCTCTTGCCTGACTGCAAGAATTGCTTCATAAGAAGGTCGCGAGAGAGGGAGAGAGAGGGTGGGAGATATAGAAAGGGGCAGATAAAGGGATGTAGAAAGAAAGAAGGAAAAAATGAAGGGGAAGGGCTAAAGATAGGGTAAAAGAAAGACAGGAAGAGAGTGAGGAGAGAAAAGTGATGGAGGGGTAAGAGAAAGGAAAGAATTATAGAGAGAGGAAGAAAAAAGGGGGGAGGCGTAGCGGGTGTGGAGGAAGTGGGAAGAAAGAGGAAATAGGAGAAGCGAAAGAAGTGGAGTGTGGAGAGAAAGAGAGGGAGAAGAAGATAAGGGTGAGTGGGAGATCGAGAGAAAGCGAAGGGAGGGGAGAGAGGTTTTCATGCGACATTAAAAAATTAAAAGAACACTCGCAACGTTAAGAGCAAACTAGGAAATTGATAGGAAAAGGATATTCACTTGAGGTCCCAGAAGGCGATCGTGCTGTCCTCGCTTGCAGTTACAAATTGCCAACTTAAGTTGTCCAAAGGTGCGTTTTTTGGTAAGGACGTGATTTTGCCGCTTCGGTTGATCTCGTGATGCAACGGCATCCACGTTATCTGGGTAATGGCCGCCTTTTGGCTATGCGTCAGCGAGGATATCGCCGTCGGAGCGATCCGTAACGTCACCGTCACATCGCGCATCCAAGTCATCAGGCTCTTTATCGCAAGCCTGTACTTTTCTTGAGCACTCGTTCTCGTCACTACTGTCTCCATCTGCTCGATTTTGCCGGGGATGTGCCAGATGGCGACCTGATGGCCGATTTAGGTATATTTTAGCTCGGAGGGGCGGAAGGATAATGGAGCAATGTCGAAAAGAAATTTGTGCGTTCTCGGCGGCAAAAGTGATACGTGTCCACGCGTAAAATTAGAGAAACATGAAGTCGGCGATACGCGAGAACGTAATTGATTACCTGGCCGTTTGTACAACCGCCCACGACGACACTTCCGTCGAGTGGACACACGGCGACAGACGTCACTTCTCGCGGACTTTCAAGGATCAATTTGGGTGATAAAAAATCGTTGAAGGACCATATTAGCACGTAGTTGTCATTGTCGCGAGTTATGAACACCTATACGCACGAGAAAGAAAGAAGGGAAGAAAGACGACGCGTTATTTTGAGTTAAACCGTACTTTCGTTGATAGGAAAATCTGCATAGCTCGCGTTGTTAGTCGATTTCGGATTTATAAATTTACGAGATGCTAATGCTTATGTGAGACAGCGTGTTTGCGGGGATCGATAAACCTCCTCCTGAATTTTGGGACCTATCAGATGTTCGCTCTTGGCATGTCGCGTGTAAGCGATCATCGCTAGTCCGGTCCAGAACGGATGCCAACAGAGATCGTTGACGACTCTGTTCACAGTGAGCTTTCCCTCGTAGTAGCTCTGGTGTTCCGTGTAGCCTATCGGCACCGGTGCTTGCGTATCCTTCTCATTGCGCACCAAATTTGCGTAATCATTCGTGTAAATGTCCCATGTGGAATTCATCGAGATCTACGTAGACGGTAAAGTCGCGAAAATAATTAGGAGAATAATAATAAGCTCTCTTCTTCGATCTTAGTTACGATTAATCTTACAAGTAAACCAAAAGGTACACTCCGATTTCTTTCTAATTTGATACAAATGTAAAAATACAAAAAATATTTGGATCATATTTTTTCATTTTGGCTCACTTTGAGTTTCGTGAGTAGTTTATAGCTTTTTAATGTTCTCACTCCTATCATCAAGTACAACAAACATGTATAAGAAATAAAATTGAATACAAGATATAGTTAAATAATTTTAACAAAATTGGCATAGCTGAGACACGAATTTTAAATTTCTTTAGCCGAGATTTCAACCAAAATATTTCAAATTTTTGCTAAATTAGTTAAAAATGGTTTGAATCGGAAAAATGGCTTGATCTCGGTCAAACTGAGAAATTATTTGTATAAATAATTTTTTCAACTTTTTACATGGTTTGTTTATTTTATTATTTATACAAATAATTTTACACATTTGACTTTATATTCATAATTAATAAAACGCTTTTATCTTTTAAATTTCTTTAGCCGAGATTCCCACCTAAATATTTTAAATTTATCAAAAAAATTGTTCGAATTTCGGCTAAACCGAGAGAGAGAAATGCAGTAATTTTAATGAAAATTTTAACAAATTCGGTATAACTGAGACACTAATCGTTCTAGATTTTTTAGCTGAGATTCCAATTGAAGTATTTCAAATCTGCTAAATTAATTAAAAATGGTTCGAATCTCGGCCAAACCGAAAAATTATTCGTATAAATAATTTTTTTTTCAACTTTTTAAGTTGAAATGTTTTGTTTAAACATTTTATTATTTATACAAATAATTTTAAAGATTTGACTTCATATTCATAATCAGCAAACCAAAAACGCCTATTTTATCTTGAATTTTATTTCTTATGCATTTTTATTGCAGTTGTTAATGATAGAAGTGAAGACATTGAAAAGCTATAAACTGCCCGTGAAACTCAAAGTGGGTCAAAATAAAAAAATATGATCTAAATATTTTTTGTACTTCTACATTTGTGCTAAATTAGAAAGAAATCGGAGTGTAATCTTTGAGTAGGTTTACTTGTTAGTTGTGTTAAAGTGCTCTCTAAAGTAAAGTCAGAGTATTTTTTATTGAAATGCTAACTTATAACTGGTGGTTCAATTATATGAAACAGTAAAGTGGATATACTTTCATTGAAGATCCGCAAATATTCACTGATTTTTGGTAAAATATTTCTTTTACTAATTTAATTAAGAATATTTTAATTTTAATATTTCTTTCAATAGTTTCTTAAGTTTCAATATTTACTTTGCTGATTCAATCAAAAGCATTTTTATTAATTTACTTTAAAAGAATGTAGATGATTGTTAATCATAATTAATAATTTTAATCAACTTTATGAAAGTTTGGATGATTGATAATTATTCGCGTTATTCGCGAGGCGAATAACAGTTACCTGATTGCACATATCTTCGGTATAACGGTACAGAAAATCTTTCAAGGAGTCAATCTTCTCCTCGGGATATGTCGACAGATCGATAGTTTCATATTCGTACAGATATTGGAACCACGAATTGGCGGATATCTGCGACGCTGTTTGAGTCTCGTTGTGTCGAACGAAGGGCGTGACTTGCGTCGACCTGCTTACCAATTTACGCCATACATTGTCAAATATTTGCCGGTGCGGCAGCAGCTCGATGTATCCGTCTCTTTGATCGCCGGTCGTTCTATCTGCCAGATTTATCGGCATCCCCAGCAAATCGGCGGTGGACGTCACCTGATCAAATATAAAAGATCGCCATTCGAATCGCGGTGCAGCGCGGCACAAGAGCGTTACGATGAAACAATCCGCGGGAGATATCGCGCGGGGATTTATGCGAGCCACCTTTTGTACGTTCGAAATCAGGATAAAGTGATTAATAAATAATTTATCGCAATTTGTGAGTGCCGTATGCGACATTATTTGTCGATTCGGCCGGATATTTACAGGCAGGATTACTAGAAATTTACGATAATCACTTTAATACCGCGGCTTCAAAATTAATGAATGCGGCCCGTCGATATTTACTCTACGTGCGTCATCGCTACTTGGAGTTTTTATTCTGAAAAAAAGTATTTGATATTTATATAACTATAATCGTATAGAAAAATAATTATTATAAATTATAGCAAAGGAAAATCATTTCTATCAAATCCTACTGTAATGTCAGTGATGATAGCCTTACATGCATTACAATTACTACTACTATTGTCGTGTTAAAACAAGAAATATGGTTGGGGCCAAAAATAGGCATAATTTTAGTCAGAGTAGCCATTTTTTCTCTCAGTGTAAAAATACGCTGAAAAAAAAATCCTGTCGCACCGAACGCGATGTCGCGAGTACCAAGGCCGACGGATGATATGCAAATCGCGAGTGGGCGCGCGAAGTTTCGCGACGGCGGGATGGAAAGTCACAAATCCGTTTAATGAGAACAATGTCATGTTGAGGACACTCGATGTCTCGGCTGCGTCTTGAAAATCGTCCGACTCAACCGAGCGCTCACCTCGATCTCGAAAAGCGGCCGCGTGTTCTTGACGACCTCGGCGTCGACTTCGGCGCCGCTTCCCCAGTCGAACCAGCGACCGACTGGCTTGAATACCGCGACTCTCACGCGATCCTCGTGCTCTTGCCGTTGCTCCTGTATCAGCCTCGTCACCGCGTCCGTGCTTTCTTGGGTCAGGCAGATGTAGAACTGCGCGTCCTCGGTGAGTGACGGCGCGTACCCGATGAGCATCTTGTCTTCCGGGAACGCGTGGATCTCGTCCTTCACAGGCAGGAAGTCACTACTTTCGGAGTGTAGATCTATGTTGTCTTCGATGATGTCCTTCCTCACGTGAACCCACGGATACTCGGTAGTCACGTTTTCGCCGATCACGCAGCCGACGATTTTCTGCGTCAATGGCGATAGGTCGATTCTCGCTATACCCCACATTCCCTGTGAAATCGATTCAGAGTCAACCTCTCTCTCTCTCTCTCTCTCTCTCTCTCTCTCTTTCTCTCTTACACCCTGTCACCCCAACTCTCTCCCACCCCTCCCTCCCCCTTTAGTATATAACGAGTGACGTTCTATTTTTTTATTCGTGATTAGATGTCGGAACGAACGACGCTGAATTTGCGTTGTATAATTTCGCACGTAGAATTCCACGCGTTCCATTTGACAGTCCGATTAGAACCGTTCGGAATTTCGAAAATAGTACAAACCGCTGTCACGTCAAGAGGATATTCACCATCGACACGGAATATCGAATTCTCGATGGCGGCTCCTCTGTCGCTCCCATTATACTGTATCTCAACATGTCGCCCATCGACGAATCAAGTGGAGCATACGAAGCGTAAGAGGCGAGATCATAGATGGTTTTTCGTCTCCTCGTTGCCGGGTCGTCCATCTCTATGCGGACCTTCTTCTTCGCTTCTCTCTCCCAATCTCGTTGGGCTGAGAAGGAAACGCGTGCGAGGATTGCTCGTGAAATTTTATACTCCCTGTTTTTCAAACAGATCATCCAAATACTCAACCGGTATGCATTTATCGAACTTGCGTGACTCATATTGAAATGAAACAAAATCAATAATCTCTCTCGTTATTACAAGCCCAGCTCGCCGCTTTAAATCCGCGTCATTCATATTTGAGCATATTTACGCTCGACTAGGTTTACGTTTCATTGTTAACATTGTGCGTAACTTTTACCCCGACACGCGTATCCGATACGCATCATCGATCTTCGTTCGGTACATAATTTTAACCCATTCGTTACAAAGTTCCAATATTGGTACATTCGACATTATCGACGTTCTTCCACGCGCTATCGTATACGCTTTTAACAGCGTATTTCCATCAGACGATATTTGCTTTTTAAATGAATGTGTAAACAAAATATGTTAATTGCACACAGACCCCAAAAGAAAATTCCGCCCGTATAATCCATGTAGATATTCCGCGACACAGAGCGTGCACGCCCTTTATTTGAGATGTACCGTGACGTTTGATCAGTTATATCTCATTTCCGACGCGAACGACACGAAACGCGCGTCACGCGTTTCATAACCTACACGGCTCTTCCTCGTCCCATTCCTTGTCCACGTAAGATTCTTCCTCCTCGAAGTCAGAGGATTGCTCCACTTCGAAAGACTCATCATGATATCCGTGTTCCAACTCGGCGTCGTCCTCCCGCAGCGTCCTCCCTTCGTCGTCTGGACGCGTTTCCTCGTCCATGACAGCTCCCTCGATTATTTCACGTTCCCAAAAGCCGGCGGTGCCGATGAATTCAGTGCGACTTGGCACGGATGTAACGCGTCCACGTGCACGCGTTCGCACGTAATGCGCGTCGATCGGACGTGCTGCGAATGTAACAAGAGCGGGTCCACGTGCGAGCCGGAGAAATAGAGTCACGAAAAGACACAGAAGAAACGATGACACTCGCGTTCACGATCGTGCGAAACGAGCGAAATCGGGGTTTGCCGGTGTGTAACGACTTTTTTAATCCGACAGACTGTATAACATCGATAAAATCGACGGCCGGCGCTACATGCCGAGGCTTAACGAAATTCTGAGTCGGGTACATTTGCAGTTTGATTGAACATTGAAATCTCGGGTTTCATGGCGGCGACGAACCCGCGTCCATCGCGAGCTCTTGCGAGCGCAGACGGGGTGGATGGATGTGTTTCGGAATATCAATTTTTCCCTGTGAAATACGAGCGAACGTGAGAAGGGCGATTTAATTGTTTTTACATCAGGCCGAGAGCGAAACGGGTCGCTCGTGCACTTAACCCATTTCGCAAACTCGATATCACCGCAAGCATTGTCAGCGCTGACGGAACGGTTTGTAACCCGATGAGTAATTTAATCGCGCGGCGGCTAATTCATCGCTTTTAAACGCGCGGATGTATCGCTAATTGGTAATACGAATCGGACGATAACTTAACGTAAATATCGTGAAATGTTTGCCCGCACGTTAACGAGCCGTGTTGCACGTGCTAGACGACAGAGGGTTAATGTGCGAAGGTTTCGCGTTTTCATCGCGTTTTTTTCTCGCGAAATGAGTAAAGGTATTCCTTTTCGTTTTTCTCGCAACAGGCACGGAACAGCGCGCGCTACGCAAAGAAAACACTTATTTTTCTCTACAATTATCTGAATAAAACATGATGTGATTGTAGCGCGCGGACTGGCTCGCGCGGTATTCCGGGATTGTAATTAAAAGGTTCCCATCGCGCGGCCCGTTGAAACGCAATTACGAGCGGTATAAAATATTGCCTGGTTGTCAGAGCAAACTTTTGCTCGTCAAACGTAATAAATTGCCGTGCGGCAACGTAACTCTGTCACGCGACGGTATCGACGCGAGAGATCTTACGTGACAGGATTTGGCAGGAGCTTCAATCGAGGCGGGGGCGTGATTTAATTGGCGCACATTCGCGCACCTTGCGATGTTTCTGTGCCTTTTTATTTCGACGTATCTTGCAGGAATTTTGGGGCATGCGTTCCGACACCATCAATCAAGAGTTCCGCGGCGAGCAGCCGGGAACCTTAAAGTGCCGTGAAATTCGCGGAGCATAGAGAAATTTACAACTTATTCCTCGCGATACGGCAGTGAGACAAATTTACCTTCGCATATATATATATATATCTTAAATTCCCTACCGTTGCGATGCTTATGGTCGTGCGCGGGCGGGAGGAGAAGTCGTTGCGCGCTAAGCACGGGGGCAAATATTTATTCGAGATTACGCGGACGTAGATTACGACTTTATCCTTTATCCGCGCTGTAGCGGCGCTCTCCGCCTCTATACATATATATACATATATATATATATATATATAATTAAAAATATGTAAATTATCGAATACGCGGCGCGCAAACCGGAATAGCAGGCAAAATAAAAGGGACTCGAGATGACAAGAATAAACCGATGCAAATGCGCACTGATAGCGCACTCTGGTAATCAAAATTTATGGGTCGTTTACGCTTAAAATATGCAGCATTTGACGTGTATCCGCGCACTCTCCCACGCATTACTTTATACATAATACATCGTCCTACTTCGGATTTTGAAAGTATCCATAACGCGCGGCTATTAGAGATACGCAATAAGTATCGTTTTTATGATTTATCTTTGCATTTTCGATTCCCTCTGCGAGATGCGTAAGCGCGTCGCGCGCGCTTTCTTGAAAAATGTACTTTATATCGGGCGCATACCGGCGAGTCGTAAAAAGAAGGGGAAGTGTCGGTCGCTCTCTTTTAAAGGCGTTCAGTTAAGGGAAACTGAATTTTGCGGAACGATATTGCATAGCTTGCGGGTTACAGTTCTTCGAGACTTCTTTTTATATATACGGGAGATTCTTTATATTACCCTTACTTATTCGTCATAAAACGCGTGTATTAAAACTGTAAGGTGAATCAGCTTCCGGAGATGAAAACTTTGACCCAACTGAAGGCTGCGAGTATAACTAATGACAACTCAATTTCTTTCTCTCTCGCCTCTCACTTGACTCATTTCATCTCTTGCTTGTTAACCACAGACCTGCAATATTGTATATACATTTGAATCAATGTAACGTCTCGGTTACACAACGTTAAAGTTGCTCGAGTTGATTTATTTGTGTTCAGACCAATATTTGTATATAAGATCAATAAGGGTTGTGCGCTGGATGTTAGTGCAAGTGATTAAATTATGGGAGAGTAATATTGTTTGACAGTGTAAATGTACACACACATATCCAGTACACAGCTCTTGTTGACTTTATACAGTATTTCTCGTAATACGATTGTGTTCCAATATAGTTTGAATTGTATTCCAACAGATGTATATCTTTCGTTTATATAGTTTATTTGTATTTTCTTGTTTTTTTTTATTTTTTTATTTAAGGTCGTTCTTCACGTTGCACGTGAGACAAAGTAAAGTTGTTCTTCGTCGTGACAGTGGCGGTGCAGTGGCGATGTAAACACAGAGTTTAGGTAATGTTTTTTGTCGAGTCGACTCAAACATATCTGGATATTAATTGGTCGAAAAGTTTCCGATTTTATTACTGCACGATAACGATTTGAGTGTCGCACAACGATAGTATTACTCGTGCTCGCGCTGGACGATTGGTATTTCTAGCGTTTCGGTAGGCCCGTAATCGGCGATTCGCAACCGTTGGAAAAATAGATTCCCCGGCGTTTAGACAATTTGACCTCGCAGCCGGACGGGCTGCACGGCGATTAATCAATTGCAAATATATACCACGTAGATTGGAAATACACGCTGCCTATTTCCTGTTTAATCGAATCAAATTGAGATGGTATTTTCCCTGTGTCCGGTCTCTCCATTTATCGGGCCGAAATGTCGAGTGGCGGTGCTTTCCTCTCTCGCCCATAGAACGTAAACGATCCAAAATGTGTTCACTGACGATTGATCGGTCAAAGGGAAAACCACAGAAAGTCCTCGCTGCTTCCGAGAGGGGAGAGTACGCGCGAGAAAAATAGTCGACCGTAGAAATTGTTCCGGGCTAATTATCGCTGTAGAAAAACGCTCGTCGCAACCAACATCTTTGCGAAAATCCGATTTTCCATCTCGCGTGAAACACCGAGAACGTATCGTTTTGAGATCGCATCACCAGATTGCTCCTTGCCATGGCAAATATTTCGCGAAGCATTCTTATCTCTATTTTTACCGCTTACCGTATCTACTCACCGTTAAATTTATCACTCGCAGCGCCCACCGCTCGCGTCTCTCCCCCGCAAAGAGAGCTGAAGATAATTTATTTATAGTGAAACGCGGCGTAAGTAGCCGGGCAGGACTTTAAGTGGCACTTTCCTTCGTGGAGGATGCAAAGGATGCTCCGTCGCAAACAGATGTTAAAATACTCCGAGTTTCGCGCGTACATGAGAGCGAGAGAGAGAGAGAGAGAGAGAGGTGAGGGGAGGGAGCGCCGCGTTTACTGCCGCGTTTATTTCGAAAATTCAGAATAGAGCGCTTTTTTAAGTCCCGCCGGACGGAACTTTTACGCTGCTTTTGTAGTAGTCGGTTGCACAGTGCGGCGTTGGTGGATACTTTATCGTTCTAGCTTTTATTCCGCTCGTCCACCCGCTCGCTCGCTCGCGCGAGTCCGCCGGAGCTCCCAGTGGATACAAGAGAATCGTCCGAACGAGCGAACGCGCAGCGTACAACCGAACATTGAAAATATTGGGTTGTTTTTAACGCCACCGTTCATCCCGGGCGACATGAATTTTTACGGCGATTTGACAGCTGCGAGATTTTCATATGAAAGGACCTCTCTCGTCGGGCCCACTTTGCAAAATTATTTGCGCAGTAAAATTTATGCTTCCGGCCGGGACTCTCGCGACGTGGCATCACCGACTCGTAGACGATACGAGCACGCTGTCGATACTTCCGAACTGTGTGCGGAGCGAAAATTTTTCCTCGAGAAAAGAAACAAAAATTCCTGAAAAATTGTTACGAACTAAATTTCTTATTATCTTCTTGTTCGAATTGTGTGAAAAATATACCAAAAATGCTCGACGCAAACGTTAAAAATTGCTGCCCAGTATAATTGGGGAGAAATCAATTTCTAATCGCGCGTCTGTTTTGTTCACGCCGCTGGCGCGAGTTGTAATTCTTATTGAGCGTCGTTTTTCGGATTTCCAAAGATTGTCGCTGTTATCACGGCGAGACAAATAGAGATTGGGATGGAATTTTGTAAACCGCGATCTCTGAAATTTTCATTTGGCTAAGCGAACATCAAGTGTCTGGCGGTGCCCGAAATACAACACAGCCGGGGCACTCGTCGAACCAGCCGTCGACCGATTTAATTTCGTTCCGTCATCCCTGTCGTATCGCGCGCCGGCTTTTAGCGCGACTCGACCGCGCTCTATTTTCATTTCCATTATGAATAATGCCGAGGTAGTTATGTGTAAACGATCGCAGCTTATCGTGTCCCGATTTACATAACGTCTTTTTGATCAGCGAAGCTATAAAACGACGCTCGCAACGCTGGCGCGAGGCGAGGACGATGATCCGTCGTGTCTTAAGGAGATTTGGATTTGTTGTAAATATGAGAGGCGATGTTGTCGCACATCGTGGAATTCGCGATCGCGAATCTATCGATCCCGTTATCGGATGTGAAATTAGCAATGTGGAATAATGATATAATCCTTTTGGGTCTCCCTCTGCTCCTTTACTATTCGAAGACGTTCTGAGATATCGTATTCAGAGATGACAGACCTCCGCGAGAAAACTCTT